GAGTTTTACCCCGCCTCCCATTGTGAATCTTACACTGACTCGTATTCCCTCAAAGTCAGAACTTGAAGTTTGAACCAATTTTTGGGGGTATATTCCTTTTGTTTACCAACAACTCTGAGGGAACACTTTTATTTCCTGCAGACTTAACATTACATCCACACCCTTTTACGAAACCATCCTTCCTCCTAACCACCTTTGAGCACAAATGTAAGTCATACGCAGGGTCTCATTTTGTTAGTTTTTGTATCAGATAGTTTTTATTAAGCAATATATTGATAGTGCACAGTACAATAAGGCCCACAACAATGGGCTCATACAAAAATTACATAAACAGTAGAAAACAGAAGCTGAGGTCATACCAGTGTTACAATCACGAAAAGTACATTTATTTATTTTTTATTTATTACAGGTACTTTTATGCAGTGCTTTACATATATATATTGTACATTCATATCAGTCCCTAACCCTCAAGGGGTGTACAATCTAAAGGTCCCTAACTCACATTCATACATACACATACTAGGGCCAATTTAGACAGGAGCCAATTAACCTACCAGAATGTCTTTGGAGTGTGGGAGGAAACCGGAGTACCCAGAGGAAACCCACACAGGCAGAACATGCAAACTCCAGGCAGGTGGTGCTTTGGTTGGGATTTGAACCAACAACCCTAGTACTGCCAGGCAGAAGTGCTAATCATTTAGCCACTGTGCTTTCTTTGTTGTTTCTTTACCTTTTGTGTGTCCATAAAAACCTTAAAGCAATGAAGCAAGAGCACGCAACCAAAGTCCTCTAGACATATAGGGGTTTATTTACTAAAGCTGGAGAGTCCAAAATCAGACTCCCTTCTGCATAGAAACCAATCAGCTTCTAACCTCAGCTTGTTCAATGAAGCTTTGGCAATGAAACCTGGAAGCTGATTGGTTTCTATGCAGAAGGGAGTCTGATTTTGGACTCTCCAGCTTTAGTAAATAAACCCCATATTGTATCATAGTAATTATATGCTCAGACAAGTATGGATTATACTCAGGGGCGGACTGACAACTCATGGGGCCCCCGGGCAATAGGAAATTATGGGGCCCCTGTGTCCGCTCCCACACTCAAACCACACCCAAAAAAGCCTATGAAAGGTACCAGGGGCATCTCATGGGGCCCCCTACTGACCCTGGGCCCTCGGGCAATGCCCGAGTGACTAAATGGTCAGTCCGCCCCTGATTATACTATATTCTTGCACTATAAACCATCAAATCACTAGTACTATATTGTCAGGAGCATTAAGGCTCCATTCACACCTTATGCAGTTTGCTTTTTTTCTGTTTTGCAGTGATGCAGTGATTTTTGCAGTTCATTTTGCATTTTTCTACATGCGTTTTTGCCACAATTTGTGTTTTGTTCAGCTTTTTCTTTTTTTTTTTTTTAAAAGTGGAATTTTTTTTTTTGCTGGACAGAATAAAAATGCAAAACGCAAAACATGGCAAAAACACACTACCATCCATTTCAGAAGATTCTCCATTGAACTCTGCTTTTAAAAAAGTCCCCGACCCTTTCCAAAAACGCAGCAGCTCAAAAAAGCATTAATGTGAACATGTTCCATAGGAAACCATGTTAAATTTAAATGGACTGTAGTGAGTTTCTGCAAAAAGCACTAAAAAATGCATTGGTGTGAATGGAGCCTAAGGCTCCGTGTACACGAGCCTACCCTGACCGTCGGCCGCAGGAAAACGCAATCGCTGCAGCCGCAGTACCACAATTCTGTGGTTTCCAGCAGTCGGTGGTCAAAACGTTCCTATCCTGAACGCAATTTTTCTGCGTTCAGGAGAGGGAGGTTTAACCTCACCTAAACACAGCAGCTCCTAAACTCTGCTAAAAGCCTGTGTGTACATGGACATATAAGCATTTATGGAGTTGAGTTTAGGAGTTTTGGCAAAAAAAAAATCCCAAAGGCTCCTTAACTCGATAGGAGCTGCTCGTGTACGTGAAGCCTAAAAGAAGTTCACCTTTGGGAACATGTTACATGTTCCACCTGTTTTTAGGGTGGAACATGTAACATGTTCCCACTGCTGCTGCCGCTGTCCTCTCTCCCTGTGGCAGAAGTATGGGGAGAAGTTCCCCATACTAGCTATCACTTTTTAAAAACAGCATGGCCATGCAGGGCTCTGCCCTCACGGTCATGTCAATCATTCACAGAGTTCTGTGAATGAACTACAAGTACTACCGACATTCTTTGTGAATGTCGGCTTGTAGTTCTCAATGAACTACCATGGCTGTTGATACGCTGTGGAAGTGTATTGAGTCTGTCAGTGTAAAACTGCCTGCCCGTATGAGGTACGAGCAGGCAGTTTAAACTGACAGTCTGCTGGAGTCCTGCATGGCACCAGTAAACTGCTGATCACTGGTGTAGTGCTTTCTAGGCTCCAAAAGGAAAAAAATTGCAAATGCAATTTTTTTTTTCCTGCAAAAAATATGGACATATATCTTTTTTTTTTTTTAAGTGAACTTATCCTTTAACCACCTTCCAAGCTATTGCTGTTGCTCAAATTGTACATCTTACAACATTCACGGTAATACAGTTTTTTAGTATTGAGAATGACATTTCCTTCACCAACTAAATGTAAGAGCCAATAAACACGGAAAAAAATTAAACAAAACCATAGTAAGTGTGTTTAATTACATAACATTTACACATGAATCACATAAGTATATAACTTTTTGGTTTTTTAAAAAAGAAACAGTGAACTTGGCTTAGTAGTCTATCAAAAATTAACTGCATAGGGGCTAAATCAATGATTTCCAACCAGTTATTCCAAATTTTGTAGAATATGTAAGGGCAACCTCTGGTACACCAATTTCTCCTGTAATGAGAGGCATTTACGGTCTGTTTCCATATAGCATAGGTGGGGGCTGGTAAGATCCACTTTTGTGCCGTAAGTTTACAAGCTATAAATAATAAGTGGGTGATGGCAGTATATACTGTACATATGGCGTATACAGCTCATCATCTAGCCAGCTCAGTACACAAATCTTAGGTTCAAGATGTAAATTAGTGGAAAAGATTGTGTTAATGGTTTCCAGAATAAGTGTCCAGTATGGAAAGTTTTGAACATTTCCATAGCATATGAATCATTGTACCCATGTCTACTTCACATTTCGCACATAAGGGGGTGTCCCTCCTAAAAAAGCTTTTGCGGGGTATAGATAAGTATAATAAACAACTGTGTTAGTTTCTGTGTGGTAGAGAGTGAAGTTTATTTAGGATATCAGTTCATTCTTCATTAGATATGGGTACAATATCAGTTTTCCAATGCTCTCTACAATTAGAAGTCATACTATTTTATAGAATGCTGTAGTAAGGTAGGCAACGATTGAACGGTCCTAGACCTGCCTGTTTCGAAGCAGTCTACCAATTGAACATTCAGGAAAATATTTGATAAAGTCTTACTATTCAGGTTTTGATTCCCATTAGTTTTCAAGCCTGTTAAATGTTGTTGCAAGGCCAGGAAGTACAAATATATGGGTTGGGAGCCGCTAAACCTCCAGACTCTTTAGTGAATTGCAGCGTTTCCAACTTAATTCTTGGACTGAACTTATTCCAAATTAATGTACGAAAAATAGTATCAAAGTTTTTTTTTAATACATGGGGATTATTATGCAATAAATAATTGAAGGACCAACATAATTTTGAGGAGATTAACTCTTCCCACAAAAGAAAGTCTTATTATGGTTATTTGCTCCTCTAAAAATGCATTCCAAGACAATCATCCCAAAAAGCATAGAAGAAGCAATGAGGAATTTAACTGAATTTCATTGTAACCCCAAAAGACCCAATATTGTACAACAGCACATATTTGATGGTACTAGCAAAAGTATCTCACCCCTGGAATATCTAACCCGATTAAGAAATGCGGTGGCATGACCTTTTAAGAGAGCGATTCACTATAGCCTTATTACCATTACCATTACCAGGCAGCAAAAGGTAAGCTGAATAATGGTATGATCAATGAAAAGCTAGCAGCAGTTTTAGAACAATACATGTAGAAAATTCCATATAATATGGCAGCCATGGATTTTGTATTATTAACCAAAATAATTTTGATAAATGATTGCTGGGGTGCAGCTTCCCTCCTTCTTCTCAATTTTTAAACTTCTTTTATATTCCAGTTTACATCTACTCACATTCACAGCACCTGACTTGACCATTGTGTCCTCTAATTTTGGGAACCTCTAATACTCAGCCTACCCAACGGTCCATCAGACTGTATACTCTTTGATATGACATAACGTCTTCTCTATTCTCAGCAGACAGCAGATAATATATCAGCATTGCTACTTTTATCAAATTCTTTTACAATATCTGTATTTTTTTTTTCTGTACAATTTATACGATTTGTTTGCCTAATCTGTGCAATAAACCTGCTTGTGAAACAAAATCAGATTCATACATTTAGGTGAAAAAATATTTAACTGCAGTTACAAAGATTTATCAAATCTTTAATTAAATTTACAAAATGAAATATTAGCATGTAAAATTTTGCCCTACTGTCTAATATAGTCTTCACAATTCATTTTTAACACAGTGTATTTCATGATCCCATATAAGTCGGACATTGCTCTTAAGTCCATTCGATAATGGTTCTTGTTGGCAGCAAGTATGTCAGCTATCTGTATTATTATGGAGCCAAATATGATAAAATTGGCTCTCCAATGTAAAAGACAAATCTGTCTGAAAGGTTTAAACCAGGAGTCCTTTCATTGTGCACTATGGCTATCAGGCTAAAATTGCAGCATAAGCTAATTTTTTTTCTACACAAAACAGTAAGCATTTTTCAAAGTAAACAGCATCACATTCATTAGTGTACCCTATATTATATGTGCTTTCCCATGTGTGGCAAAGCACATAGATGTAGACAAGGCTTTATGGTGCTGCAGCATGTCCTTCCCTCTTGTGCCTCAACAAAATAAACACAACAGGGATTCTTCCATTAAACTGCTTTGTTGCAAGAAAATTAATCAGCCTTTTTAGCGGTATTTTTAAGGATTTGGTGTCGTAACTTCATTAGGTCGAAAAAGAGATTCCGTCCCAGGACTTCTGATGCACATAATACTGCCCCATTGAGAGCTCCGGCAAATCCACAGACTACGATATCTTGACCTGACACAAAAAGCAAATTAATTTTATATCTAAATATATCTGTATACACACACTGTATCATCTAATTTGTTTTTGCTAGTTATCTCTTCTGTCTTAGTTTGACTGTGTAATTTTATGTCTTTAGTTTGGCGTGTATGTAGCAGGGCGCGATCAGCTTCACAAAATACCCATCTCATAACTCATTGGGTAGCAAGTCCTAACTTCACTGTGTTCAAGCACAATACTTACAGTATTTGACACAGTTCATGCCAGCCCTTACCACACTACTGTGCCCACTACAGAAGTAGGAGCTGGTACATGAAATCAAAGTGCATCAGGGGACTATGCATCTGATACTTTTGGAAGTGTGTTGGATTTCTTATCTTGGTCACTAGGACAAATACAGGATAGCAAGGACACAGCAAAACATCTGGCAATGGTTTAAGCAAACTTTGGGAGTTTCCAGTAACCACAAATGACATTGGACCAAACAGAACAGAAATGGATGGAACCAGAACTCAGAAACTTATTTACAATTGAAGCCTCATGTTGGTGCTGACTAAATGTCCCCAAGCAGAGTACATGCTGTTGTTCGAACACAGTGTTCATGTATTTTTGTGCATTAACTACACCAACAGTGTTCAGTAGAGGTATATTCTTCAACCAGTAGATGGCAAGGTTTAGAAGTTTGTAGCTGCATCTATAGTTAAAACTCTAGGTCCTTTCTCTATAACAAAAGGTTCCTATTTCCTCTTTGTAGAGAAGCAGCATGTGGACTGTGCACTGTCTGTTTTGTAGGGCTATATACAGAATCTCTAACAGCTGTTATCCAACTGGAAGACAATCTAATGACTACTGAATCATGAAAATAAAGAATGTCAGGCTGTGGTGGTGGCTAGTCGGGGGTGGTGTTAGGGATAGGGTGGGGAAAGAGATGGTCCTGCAGGACAACATCGTTTTGAGGCTTTATGCAACAGAGGAGAGGCACATCTAAAACTTCTAGGCTACAGTGGTTGACCAATCTAGCCACAGCATGCAGATGAGTCAACGGACTAGCTCATGAAACCTGCGTCATCTTCCTTCTCCTAAGACAGCATGGAATATCTTACCCACCCTCATCGTTCTAATCAGTGCCATCAGCAGTGGGTGTATCCAACCTGATTCAATTTAAGTAACAAAGACTGTGGGTAAGTGTGGCAGAAGCGGGGTCAGATGTTTTGGGTAAGGATGGAAACAGACCTTAACAAAAGAGGGTGGCCATGGGGGTAAGGGTGGTCAGAGGTAGGGTGACCAGCTGGACATGGTGCTGTGTATAAAGGTAGTAACAGAGTCAAGGAAGATGAGGATGGTGTTCAAGTAAGGGTGGCATGCAAGAGGTGGTTTGTAGAATAAGGAAATGTAGGGTAGGGATAAGGATAAGGTAATGGCCACACCCATCATCATCCTTTACATTAGCTCCGCCTACACCTGAAAATCCCTGCAAATGGACTGTTGCTGACCTTACCTATAACACCATCCTTATCTTGGCCAGCTATACCCAACAATACCCCCCCCCCCCACTCCCATTTGGATACCTTGTGGTCTGCATCAATAACACTCACAGCATGCATGACATGGCTCAGTGGCCAGCCTTATCACCATTCATAACTATCACCAGCCTAAAAACTCAGCCTGTAAACCAAACACTTCATATTCCTGATATGTGATTGTTCTACCGTGTGTTTTTATGAAAAAGTATCCTGTTCTCTTTGTATTGTTTCCTTTGTGTGAAATACCTGGTGTTCCGAATAATTCCTCTGCTTTCCTATTAAAACCTAACCTAACCACACTAGGCAGGAGAGTAGAACATGGTCAGTTTTTTTGGTTGTGCTTGAATTAAGCCTGCTCTACAATGATCAGGTATTTGTTTTAATTTTTATATGTATACATAAATGTTTTGCCTTTTATTTCTATTTTTAAACTGAATTTGTTGTTTTACAAGGTGAGGGTTTACATACACTTTAACTCCACCTGGAATTCCTCATAATACCCTTCCAAGGATCTCTTGCAGACCTTACCCTCAACACCTCCCTCATCTGGAAGGCTCTGTGGCCAGCCCTACTACCATCAATACCCCCCTCATCAGACAAGGTTCTGTGACCAGTCTTGCCATAAGTACCCTCCACACTAGACATGGCATGACTCTGTAGTCACCCACACACTAGACATGGCATGGCTCTGTAGTCACCCACACATATTACCAGCCTTTCCCTTAACATCCTTACCCACATATGGCAAGGATCTACGAACACCACTGACACTGTTTACCAGTCTTACCCTTTACACCATCTTACATTACATGATAGCAGTCTTTTAGAGAGCCCGTAGCCATGTATGCCATAATTTAAGGTATTACCACTAGCACTTCTTTTCCCACAAAATAGAAAACCCACAGGACACTGGTAAGTGTACCAAGACTCTGTGGGTTACATGGTAACAAGTCTCTAGAGCAACTTTAGGTTTTAGGTTGAATCTGGACTCAAACCCATGACCGACGGATTAAAACAAGTGGTGTACAAGACCAAAAGCATGGCCGCGGGACCAACCAACACGCCCGACAAGTTTCTCCACAATAGGCGTCCTCTGGGATTGGAGAGAGCATCCAATGCCAGGGGAGGGGTTGGGCTTTTGGTCTTGAACAACGCTTGCTTTATTCCTTTCAAATGAGAGTGCAATATGTGGCTTCTCCTTTGTACTTAATATATGTGATTGCTTGAGAGCTCTGCTTGGAGTAGGCATGCTTTCCTGATGTGGAGACAGCACTGCTGTATCATACTGATGGGGTCACAGAGCTATCCAGAGGTCTGATGGTGAGAGCATCAGCCATCCATTGAGAGATAAAAGACATGTGATCTCTGTAATTCAAGATTATTCCTGTTTGGTAACAGACCTTATTGCTTGAGAAGCACTTTATGCACTGCAGCACCGTTATACAATTTTGTGAGCAAGGAGCACTTTGATGGCACAATTTTATTATGGACTATGTTTATATGAACTTTTGGATTTAATTACACATTTTTTTAAATTAATAATTATGGCTACTAATTGTGCACCTTTTAGGTATCGATGTATAGGGGTATATACACTCACCAGCCACTTTTTTAGAAACACCTTGCTAGTGCCAAGAAAATATCCCCCACACCTTTACATCACCACCTTCAGCCTGAAACCGTTGATCAGGATGGATCCATGCTTTCATGTTGTTTACGCCAAATTCTGACTCTACCATCTGAATGTCACAGAAACCAGTCTGCCCATTCTCCTCTGACCTCTGACATCAACAAGGAATTTTTGTCCACACAACTGCTGCTAACCGGATATTTTCTCTTTTTTGGACCATTTTCTGTAAATCCTAGAGATGGTTGAACGTGAAAATCCCAGTAGATCAGCAGTTTTTTAAATACTCAGACCAGCAAATCTGGCTACAACAACCATGTCATGTTCAAAGTCACTTAAATCCCCCTTTCTTCCCCATTCTGATGATCGGTTTGAACTTCAGCAAGTCGTCTTCACCACATCTACATGCTTAAATGCATTGAGTTTCTGCCATGTGATTGGCAATTTGTGTTACCGAGCAACTGAATGGTGTACCTAATAAAGTGGCCAGTGAGTGTAATTATGTTTCACTAATTATATTTATTAATTATGTGCATTGATTTATATTTTATTTCATCGTGAATATTGAGTCGTAGATATTTTTTCACTTCTGCTTATGTAGAATTTTAGGAGGTCAATTAAATCACCCTTATGAATATAGACTGTGTGTAATGGGTTTAATAAAGATTTTAGAAACAAAAATAAGAAAATAGGAGGCATCTCCTAAACTTACCAGTCAGGTAAAGTCCCTTTATAGGGGATTTAGGTCTCAAGGTTGCTACAACTTCAGGATCCATCCTGGCAACATCATGTTCTACCCCATAGAATTCTCCCCGTGAGGCACCAAGGTAGTGCTCATTGGTGAGGGGAGAACCACTAGCATAGCAATCAATCTGTAAGGCAAAGAAAATTGTCCTTAGTGAGAGGGCAGTCACCAGTATAGAAATCATCCTGTAAGGTGGAGGTATTGTTAGTGAGCGGGTATTCACACAGCAATCAATAATGTACCTTTAGATCAGACTGGCATGATAAATATACTGGTGTATTATATTACAGCACTATGCATTCAAAAAATAACATCATGCACTGGTGTCAGCTGTCTGGTAGTGCATTATAGAATATATCTTTGTGAATAATAAGAATTACTGAGCAGAAAAAGAAATGTATTGGCACGTGAAATAGTTTACAAAGATATAATTCAACTATGTATTTAGTGTTTCCCTGGAATTCTACATTAAAGGAGTATTCATTCTGGCACGTCATGTTCAAAAAGACAAAGGTCACCCACCTAAAACTGTGAGGTGGTGAAGTTTCTTTGGTCTGCAATTACGTATTAGAGAAGGAGCCATGATTATTTTAGCCTCTATAGCCTCTCTATATTCAGAGAGGTAAAAGAGGAAATCTCGCTTTTCGGTATATAAAAAAAGATTGTTATTTTGTCAGCATCATCAAATGTAAAATTCTCTCTCCTCATTGGCTGAGAAACAGCAGCAGGAGCCATTGGCTCCCACTGCTGACAATCACAGCCAGTAAGGACAGAGCGGGGCCAGGGCTGAACCGCGGCTCTATGTGTCTTATGGACGCATAGAGTGGGGCTCAGGAGTGAGCATGCACCACTGCTCCCATAGTAAGCAGCTTGCTGGTCAAGGGGGAGGAGCCAGGAGCACCAGTGAGGTTCCTGAGAAGAGGAGGATAGTGACTGCTCTCTGCAAAACCATTGCACAAAGCAGGTCAGCATGAAATGTTTATTTAAAAAAAAAAAAAAATGAACCTTTAATATTACTTTAAAACATATAAAACCAACCTTTAGTGTTAGACCCCGGTCAGTTTTTTTGTTTTTATTGCTTGCAGACTGTGTCCACTAGGGAGATATCCCTTCACTTTCTGTCCGAGAAACACATCAGAAGTATATATGATACAGTAAAACCAACGTACTGTTAGTTTTAGACCCTGTCAGTTTTTTTTTGCTTGCAGTCAGTGTCCACTAGGGAGATATCCCTTCACTTACTGACCGAGAAACACGTCAGGACTATATATGATACAGTAAAATCAACGCACTTTTAGTGTTAGACCCCGGTCAGTTTTTTTTTTCTTTGCTTGCAGTCTGTGTCCACTATGGAGATATCCCTTCACTTACTGTCCAAGAAACACATCAGGACTATATATGATACAGTAAAACCAACGCACTTTTAGTGTTAGACCCTGGTCAGTTTTTGTTTTTTATAGCTTGCAAACTGTGTCCACTAGGGAGATATCCCTTCACTTTCTGTCCGAGAAAACACATAGGAAGTATATATGATACAGTAAGACCAATGCACTTTTAGTTTTAGACCCATCAGTTTTTTTCTGCTTGCAGTCAGTGTCCACTAGGGAGACTTATCATCAGGACTTCGTTAGACTGGTAGTTTTTGTTTTGTTTTTTTGCTTGCGGAGTCTGTGTCCAAGGGAAACACTTACTGTCCAAGAAACACATCAGAAGTGGATATAATATATCTGCAAAGTCACCTCTTAAAAACAGTGGTCATTAGGACTGGTATCCTCATTGGAAAATTTAGCTCAACTGTAAAATGTAAGATTTCCCATCACCCAGTGACAGAGGCCACCGTGACAAATAAGTCCTCATGCACACTGGATGTTTTTACAGCGGCTGTTTTTGGATTTTGACATTTTTTTCTACAGCTAGTAAACCCCCCAGCATGTTATCCTATGTGTCCATGCACACATAAACTGTAATCAATGTTTTTGAGTGGAAAAAATTCCAGGACTAGTGGGTTTCTAGCTGTAAAAACACTCTAATGCTGTAAGAGGCAGCAAACTGGGGTTTTCGCACTTTTTTTTTTACAAAAAAAAAATTTTTGCTCAAAAAACGCAAACAAAATCCAAACGCTTCAAAACGTTGCTAAACACTAATGCAAAAGCACTAAAAAAACTCACATTTTTAACATGACTTTACACAGCTAACGTTACCAGCGTTATCCAAACACCAAGTGTGCATGGAGCCTAAAGAGATTGAAGCACCCCAGCAGGGACACAGACAGCTATAGTAATCTGATTTGTTTTTAGAAGCTTTGAAGTATAGCGAAAGGATTTTTTTTTTTCATTAGTTTTTGAGTGGAGAGGGATTAGAACATCTGTCAGGTTTTTCTTGCTGTCAGTGTCTCTTTTAAGAGAGATTCTCCCTCTATCTTTGACCTGGTTGCCTTTATCGCCAACAGCGAAGTAAAAAAAAAAAAAATCCAAAGTTTAGGTTGTCACCAGAACAGGAATAAAGGGGAAGTTTTCCAATGGGGACACTAGTTCTGCTGACAACCAGGAAATTCATCACTTTGGAGGGATTTCTTCTCACTTCCTGTTTTGGCTATGACACATGAAGTGAAGGTAGTCTCCTAAATGGAATACAGATAACAAAAAGCCTACAGACCCTCACTTACCCTATCCAAAATTTAAAAAAAACTATAAAAAAAAACTATGAAAACGTTTTAGCTATAGGCATATTTGGAGCATGGATATTCAAAAGTCAATGAATAGAAGTAATACACTGTATTCTGGAGTCTTACAATTGGAGATACTTTATCACTGCTTCATGAAACCTTTTACAACTGCTCAAGTCTTTTCATTTTGTATTTAGGAGATGTTCCTCATGTCATTGGTCCCTTCCTGCTTCGATACATTCTCATTCATTCAGCCCTGTTACCCTCACCTTGTCTCGGATCTGTGGGAAGATCTGCATGGTGGTCTCCAGCATGGCCTCAGCAAATGCAGTCTTCATTTGTTCATAGTCTTGTCCACGTTTCTGCACCTTCTTGTTTTTCCACTCATCAAACCACTCATAGGGGGCGAAGGAAAGTGCAGTTAGTGTGGATTTACCTGGGATATCAATCAAAAGAGCAGTTAGTATAGTAGGAAAACAAAAACAAAGCATAGATTAACCATTTCCAGGGCTGTTTTTGCATTTTTTTTACATACATTAAGTAATCATTTTAGGCCTGAAGATTGGTTAAAACCCTCCCAACAGTATATACAGTATTTTATGAAAGCAAAGATCCTGGAGAATAAATTAACTGTAGCTCTGTTTTTTTTTTTTGTTTTTTTTAATGCATGCGGTTTTAGGGCAACTTTTCAATAAAATGTACATTAACTGTTTCCCGTCCACCCTATAGCAGAAATGCTGCTACAGGGCAGCACGAGTGTGCAAAATCACGTATATATACGTGATTTTGCATTTATGAGTGGGGGGGGGGGGGCGCGCGCACCCCTGTCCAGTAATTACCCGCCGGCGCCCAGTGATTACCGAGCATCTCATTCGGGGAGGAAGATTGCTTTATTTACAAACAATCTTCCTCCCTGTCAGCTCGGGCACACTGGTCGGGATGGCTGTGCACAGCACAGCCATCCCAATCAGTGTACTTACAGTGAAGCACACTGACACTACCCCCTAGTAAAACACTCCCTACATATAGTTAACCCTTTGATCACCTCTCATGTTACCCCTTCCTACCCAGTGTCAGTGCTTTTTATTTTTAGCACTGATCACTATATTGGTGTCACTGGGGATGTCAGTGACACCAAGTTTGTTCCTCCCCAGTGTCAGAATGTCCGCCGCAGTTCAACTAAAAGTCATTAATCGCCGCCTTTACTAGTAGAAAAAAATAAATAAATCCCAGTATATATACCATCATTTGTAAACGCTATAACTTTCACGTAAACCAATTAATTTACACGTGTTGGGATTTTTTTTTAGGAGACCAATAGTCCCGTATGTGATTGCATATTATAGTGACAGTTTCTCTTTACATTTTAGAGATCTATTAGTAGCATTGTGGGTTATTTACTAAACCTGGAAGGTCCAAAACCTGGTGCAGCTCTGCATAGAAACCAATCAGCTTCTAAGTTTTACTGTCAAAGCCTAATTAAACAAATGAAGTTAGAAGCTGAATGACCACCGTACACAGCTGCATTCAGATTCTGAGTGTATCAGTTTTAGTAAATCTCCCCCATGACATCTTTCCCTGCATTTTGCTAACTGCCGGAGTGCAGATCCAGACAATATCAACTACTTGTGACAAAATCCTTGTTGCTTCCGGGTTCTTACTAGGCAAATAAATGAATGGATGTTTGCTCGTCTACCGCCAAAGCTCTGCTATCCTGCCTCCATTACAGGGGTATGTCTGTTCATGAGGTTCATGAAACCGATCCAATGCCTGTACAGCCACTAGATGACTTCCATCTGAAATCAAATAGTTGGCTCATTACATTTACAGCTCTACAATAGTCGGGAGTGTTTGCAGAGCCCCCAACCCCTACTACTGCCGATGAATGACATACATTAATGGCATTGAATGGGTTAAAGTAACTCTAGGGCTGGTGTGAGGGGAAAGCAGAGGTGTTTTTTTCAAATGCACCAGTCATATGGTTGCCGAACATGTCCAAGCATCTCCCTGTGGTATACAGTAAATATACTTTCATGTCCAACAAAGCAGATCCACCAAAGGCTTCTTTTTTCTAAGGTGATGGGATGAGTTGGCTATCAAGTTCAGACACAAAGTCAAAGTTCTGCTAACCACTGCATCACATCTGAAGTTAGATGGATTGCTCTTGTAGGAAACCTGTATTAATATGGATGTTGCAGTTTGCAGAGCTCATCTACAGAAAATGATACCCATCTGGCTGTCACACTAATATTGGGGTTTTCAATCATTTGAATGAATTGACCTGAACTATCATGCAGCTGATCAGGAGTTTTGAGTGTCTAATCTATAGGCCTGTTCTGGGTCACAGGTGTTCAGCAGAGACATCCAGGCAATTAGTACTCTCAGGGCCATGGATAAGGGGTAGCACTAGTCCTGCTGTATGCGGGCCAGACCAGCAGGGGGGACCAGGCAGCTGGGTGAATCAAAAGTGGGCAGGGAGGGTGATCGGCATGGTGGGGGGCAATTACTGGAACCGATCCCCTGTATGGCTCACTCTGCAGCAGCTGAAAGCTGGCTTCCTCTCTTCTCCCTCCCGCTGGCTTTAAGCCGCTGCAGAGAGAGTCATACAGGGGATTGGTTCCAGTAATTGCCCCACCCCCCCCAGCGCACCCATCAACCTCCCTGTGCACCATACGTTTCCCTCTGCTGCCAAGGCCCCCCTGTGTGCCCCCACAGTACTGCCGGCTTTCCCTCCTCTCTTTTCCACTGGCAACTGTAAGCACACAATAGGATCCCTCAGGATGGAGAGTGGGGGTGAGGGTCCAGTAAATATGTCACATTTACCAGCCCCTTCCTTTCATGAATGGACACAGTGAGTGATCGGTATCGGTCGCTCACTGTGTTCATTTATAACAGAAGCATAATAAAGTGTGTTATTTTCGGGGTGGGGGTGAGGCCTGTCAGGTTGGCAGTATGGGGCCCCGTGGTCTCTAACAGCAGCCCTGAGTATTCTTAAAGAGAAAGTAAGCAATTGCAGCTTGAACATTTCAACAAGTACAAGTTTTCTTTAAAGTGGTTCTAAAGATAAAAGATTTTTTTTTTACCTTAAAGCAGTCTTTGCATTAAAGGTAAAAAAACCCACCTAAATACCCACCTAAACCCAGTCTTGGTTCAGCACTGTGCACGATTGCAGCAGCTTCTCTCTGTTTGCAGCAGCTCCTGCTGCTGTCAGTCAAAACCAGTAAGTAGAGAGCAGGGGGTGGGGCCGAGCCAGGATGTGTCTGAACTGACGCAAGCAGCTCGGCTCAGGAGCTAGCCCTCACGGGTGACTTCCAATGGAGGACACTCAGATGGGGAAGGAGCCAGAAGCACTAGCAGGAAACCCGGATCTGGGCTGCTCTGTGCAAAACCATTGAACAGAGCAGGTAAGTATAAGATGAGTTTAAAAAAGTTCAGCGCTTACAACGTGAATAATAACTACAACCCTTGATAATGTCATTTCTGACGAAACGCGTCGGTGGAGCTAGGGCGGATTTCACCATGCATGCGGACGCTCGTGGCCACCTTGGAAGTGGGCAAACGTGGCTTTTTGCCATTTGATCACCTATATACCTTATTTGACCACTCTATAACATGATGGTCAAATGTTTCCGGTAAGCCTCCCTTGAGCACTGTGTGTGGTGACACGTTTTGCAATTGATTGTGTTTGGTCACTTTCACATTTTGATCATTTATGATTGCACCCATGGACATTTCACATAGAGTGAAGTGGAAAAGACTGCACTTGGATATACAAGAACTTTTCCTGTGATTGACGATTGTTATCACATTCAATGACTTTTGCACCAAGTTTTTCTGCACCTGAATTTGATCATTTGTATTATAGAGTTGTTTTGTTGATATAGAGTGGGGATTGAAAGTTTGGGCACCCCAGCTAAAAATGTGTATTAATGTGCATAAAGAAGCCAAGGAAAGATGGAAAAATCTCCAAAAGGCATCAAATTACAGATTAGACATTCTTATAATATGCCAACAAAAGTTAGATTTTATTTCCATCATTTACACTTTCAAAATAACAGAAAACCAAAAAATGGCGTCTGCAAAAGTTTGGGCACCCTGCAGAGTTAATATCTTGTACTGCCCCCTTTGGCAAGTATCACAGCTTGTAAACGCTTTTTGTAGCCAGCCAAGAGTCGTTCAATTCTTGTATGAGGTATCTTTGCCCATTCTTCCTTACAAAAGTCTTCCAGTTCTTTGAGATTTCTGGGCTGTCTGTCACGCACTGCTCTTTTAAGGTCTATCCATAGATTTTCAATTATGTTGAGGTCAGGAGATTGTGAAGGCCATGGCAAAACCTTCAGTTTACGCCTCTTGATGTAATCCCCCGTGGATTTCGCGGTGTGTTTAGGATCATTATCCATTTGTAGAAGCCATCCTCTCTTTAACTTCAGCTTTTTCACAGATGGCATCAAGTTACCATCCAAAATTTGCTGCAATTTTATTGAATCCATTTTTCCTTCTACTCATGAGATGTTCCCTGTGCCACTGGCTGCAACACAACCCCAAAGCATGATTGATCCAACCCCATGCTTAACAGTTGGACAGAGGTTCTTTTCATTAAATTCTGTGCCCCTTCTTCTCCAAACGTACCTTTGCTCATTCCGGCCAAAAAGTTCAATTTTAACCTCATCGGTCCACAGAACTTGTTTCCAAAATGCATCAGGCTTGTCTATATGTTCATTTGCAAAGTTCAAGCGATGATTTTTGTGGTGAGGACATAGAAGAGGTTTTCTTCTGATGACTCTTCCATGAAGACCATATTTGTACAAGTATCTCTTTATAGTGGAATAGTGTACCACAACTCCAGTGTCTGCCAGATCTTTCTGGAGGGATCGTGCAGTCAAACGTGGGTTTTGAATTGTTTTTCTCACAATCCTGCGAGCTGTTCTGTCTGATATTTTTCTTGGTCTTCCAGATCTTGCTTTAACTTCCACTGTTCCTGATGACTGCCATTTCTTAATTACATTCCGAACAGAGGATATTGACATCTGAAAATGCTTTGCTATCTTCTTATAGCCTTCTCCAGCGTTGTGAGCATCAACTATTTTCAGTTTCAGTTTTCTAGACAACTGCTTAGAAGAACCCATGGTGCTGATTGTTGGGGCAAGGTCAGATGAGTCTGGGCATTTAAAACCTTTGAGATTGACATCACCTGGTCTCCCAGACGATGATTGAGAACAATCCATGACACTGGCAGATCTCAGCTTGGCAAAGGGGGCAGTGCATGCTATAAATTCTGCAGGGTGCCCAAACTTTTGCAGACGCCATTTTTTTTGTTTTCTGTTATTTTGAAAGTGTAAATGATGGAAATAAAATCTAACTTTTGCTGACATATTATAAGAATGTCTAATCTGTAATTTGATACCTTTTGGAGATTTTTCCATCTTTCCTTGGCTTCTTTATGCACATTAATACAAATTTTTAGCTGGGGTGCCCAAACTTTCGATCCCCACTGTATATAATTGTAAGTATTATTCACGTTGTAAGAGCGGCACTTTTTAAACTTATATTTTGGATTCTTTGTATCGGAATATAGTGCTGGCGGCTTTTGTTTCATTTGGACCAGCGCAGATTCTGATGCTACCTTACATAGGTAAATATAACATGTTTGTTATGTTAAAGTTGTTGTAAAGGCTGGAGGGAGTTTTTACTTTCATGCATTCTGCTTTCATGCATTTCGTGCTGTGCCCCCCCCCAATGCTCACCTGAGCCCCATCATGATCCAGCGATGTGCACGAGAGCCTCAGTTGTCTCAGGTCTCTCTCTTTCCTCATTGGCTGAAACACAGCAGTGGGAGCCATTGGCTCCCAATGCTGTCAATCAAAGCCAGTGAGCCATTGAGGAGAGGGTGGGGGCAGGGCCAAGCCATGGCTCTTGGTGTCTCAAGGACACATAGTGAAGTGAAGATGTACCAGTGCCCCCATAGTAAGCAACTTGCTATTGGGGGCACTGGTCAAGGGGGAGGAGCCAAGATCACTGCTGGGGGACACGACAAGAAGAGGATCGGGGCTGCTCTGTGCAAAACCATTACACAGAGCAGGTAAGTATGACTTTTTTTTTAATGCAAAAACTTTATTATCACTTTAAAAAAAAAAACAAACAAAAAAAAACACAGAAGCTTTAATGTCACTAGAGGTGCAAGAAATATGACTGGTTGTTTTTTGCTACTGTATTTTTCATATTATTGACCTTCATGTTGCTTTTTTAAAGTGTGTTCCAATGCATTTTTGAAGTGTTAGATAAAGTAAGGAGCTGTTTAAATTCTTTGTCAAGCTTTTACTGCTCTGTGTCCCTGCTGGGGGGAATCACCTGTATTTGTCCTAGTAACCATTGTCAAGACAAAAAGTGAGAGGAATTTTAAAAAAATGTGAGCCGTTACCAGAAGAAGAGGTAGAAAAAAATTCCCCAGTGGCAACAGCTGTTATTGTGATAACTAAAATAAGAATTTTCTTATTTCCTGTTGCCTTTCCAGGGCAGGAAGTGAAGGGAAATGTCCTAGTGGGACATAGGTAGCGCAGATTAAAGTGATATTAAAGCTTAATTGTTTTATTAAATAATAAGCATGTCATACCTATCTGCTCTGTGCAATGGTTTTGCACAGAGCAGCCCAAATCCTTCTCTTCTGGAGTCCCCCACTGGCACCCCTGCCTCCTCCTCTTCAATGAGTGCCCCCCATAGAAGGCTGCTTTCTATGGGGACACTCCTGTGGGCTCTATTGACACACATAGGGCAGCTCAGCTCCACTCCCCGCTCCCTCTTTACAAATTTTATTTGGCTCCCGCTACTATCAATCTGCCCAGTGAGGTGTAAGAGCAAAGAGAGATGCTGCTCTCATGCACAGTGATGGACCAAATTTGGCCTTAGGTATATATAATGGGGGTGAGGGGGGAATTCTGTGATGCAGAAGATTTTTTTTACCTTAATGCAAAGAAATAAAAAAAAAAACTTTAGGCTTTGAAACAACTTTAATGTGAGAGGGGTTTTAACCCTTGCCTACTCTAGGCAACTTTAAATAATCCCATACAATCTTGAGAATTCTTACCTGGACAACGCTCCTCATGGGTGGGATCTTTTGCAGAAGGGGAAGAAATGTACAACATTGGGATGTGATTTGGAGCATCATCTGCAGAACTATCAAGGTATTTTTTCTCCCTGTATTGGAAATGGGCCCAGAAGACAAAAGCCTTACCCATGTGCAAGGAGTATTCAATAATCAGATAAAACAAACTGGTTATAAAAATAGGATTTCTTATGGATGAACTTGAGAACAAGGTAGGTGCAAAAAAAAAAAAAAAAGTACCTAGCCTCATGTACCAGACGTTTATGAAAAGAATATACATTTCCCATTGCATTCTGATGCATTTATCATATCTGTCTATTTCCAGTGTAATTGAACATAATAGTGTCTTAGAAATTGCTTTGGGTCCATTGAGCATATGAGTTGTAGTTGGCAGCAGTGACTTTTCTCTGCAGAGACAGAGGTGGCCATTAATGCCATTGGTAAAAGGAAAGAATACCTACTGCATGCCATGACTGCAGATACAATGTATAAAACAGAGGTGGTCTGAATTTATTTATTTATTTCAGGTACTTATATAGCGCAGAGTAGAGTACTTCACACACACACGTGTGTGTGTGTCCCTAACTTACATTCATACATGCACATACTAGGGCCAATTTAGACAGGAGCCAATTACCCTACCAGCATGTCTTTGGAGTGTAGGAGAAACCAGAGTAAACCCACACAGGCACAGGGAGAACATGCAAACTCCAGGCAGGTGGTGCCGTGCTTGGGATTCAAACCAACGACCTTAGTACTGCCAGGTGGAAGTGCTAACCATTTAGCAACTTAACATTCTTGGATAGAGCATAGAAAATCATGTCCTGCAGAGACACATTACTTGAATGACACCATTACTAGTAAAGAGAAATATGGCACGCACCTAAATACAACAACATGATTCATCAGTGCCACTTAAGTTCTTACAGTCAGAATGGTCTATGTAGCAGTTACATTTACATATATTCTATGGAGTGCTAAGTGTAGGAATCTTTAGACAGTTCCAGCTATACTCATACATATTAGTTCAATTTTTGTGACGGAATAAAAAACTAAAAAGTATTTTTTAAAATTGTAATTATAGATAAAAGTTCAGCTTAAATTAATTATTTGGTTCATTAAAAATGGAAACCTTTTCCATACTATAAAACATACTGAAAAAAAAAAACTTAGCTCTTATTTAAGAAATACCTGTCACAAATCTGACCAAATTAAATTGCACATATGAAAACGGTAATAGGCAGTCAGTAGATGCAGGCAGCTGAGGTTGCATGGAAATCATGACTTTCCCTGTAAAAGTCAATATTAACTCCACCCCCTCACATGCCAAATTATTGGTCCTTAAAGTGTTACTAAACCCACAACAGTAAAATCAGTCTGTATATACAGTAAAGCATGCTTGTTATACTCACTGTGGAACCTAACGGGTTAATCCTTCGCATTCTGTAAAAATGCTGTTTGATCCCGACTGATTCTGACCTTCTTCAAGTGCCCCCCTCTTTTCTCCTGATAAGACATATGGTGTGGAGACACTCTGCACATGCTCAGTTTGGTGTGTATTGCTAAAGAGGTTTTTTTTTTTTTTTTCTTGGGAGAGTGCATGTGATCAGCACAGGGCCAATCAGCACTAGACGACAGAGGTCAGGGGTTCTGCATCTTTCTAGAGCAGAAAGAAAACTCTTCCTACAGGTTTTAACCAGTGCTTGGTTGAACACTGATAGAAATCACAATTCATCGCTCTAACTGCTGATGAAAAAGGTAATATTAGCAGTTTATTTACTAAAATAATTGCATTTCCATGTTCTGTGTACTGTGGGAGACCAGATATAGTGAATGCAGGGTCCGGGGTTTAGTAATACTTTAACTGCAGCTAGACAGGCCTAGGAAGGCTTGAGAGATTAAAATGTCAGAGCTCAAGCTCAGATTTGTATTTAACATCAGCCACCTATACCCCTGGATCTACAGATCATTTTGACATAAGATGTTTGCTGAAGGTAAACTCTATTTACGCAGTTATTTGCTCAAAGCTTTACATGGAACCTGTAGCTAGCCATTTAAATTGTGTGTTTTAACCCTTAGTTTGCTAAGCTGGTTAGAATCTATAAACCATAGTTGTATTTTAGGAGTCTGAAACTCACAGTTTCTTGAAGTCGGAGTCTGGCAAGTAGATGTAATTAGAGGCAGGAAGGTTGACGTCTTCTTTAGAGCCCTTAACACCAATAAAAAGGCTGAAGCCTCCTGCGCCATGCTTCACCATGCTCAGCTGGGACTGGATCCCTACAGGGAAAAATTACAGTCACAAAGAAACGTTAAAGAGGAGCAATGCATGGTTCACCAGTCAGGGGAGTTTAATACAGATATTTCCCTTAAATGTGAAATGTGGGCAGAAATGTACATGTCTATAGAAGGTGCTACCTTGAGCAAATGTGTTCTTGTTTCCATGCATAGGTATACTGTCAGTGTTCCAGAATTACAGGCCTCATCCCCTTCACATCCATGAACCATCCTCTAACTGTATGTGGCTAGCTATGTGGGCATTTTTATGTTATCAAGATACAACCCTCAGCATAGCCTCAAACTTTAGCCACACACACACACCCATCACTTCCTGCATTTCTGTTTACATAATGAACAATGTAGTGCTGCTTCTCTGCACGGATGTGATGTGTGGCAAGAGCAAAGGCCTCCTGGCGCGCACACAAGCAGCGCATTTTTCCAAGGGACGCAATGACATCACTGGGGTTGAAAAACCTTTGACTACCGTATTTTTCGCTCCATAAGACGCACTTTTTTCACCCCAAAAAAATGGGGGAAAAATCTCTGTGCGTCTTATGGAGCGAATATGGAGCGGCCGGCCCGGTATTGGAATACCGGGCCAGCCACTCGGCTCTATTGTGCAGAAGAACCTTCTCCTCGTCCTACCTGTTTCTCAGTCTCAGTCCAGCAGTGTCCTGCTTTCACCGGCTGTCTTCTCTATCTTCAGTGTGGGCACCCGGCTGTGGCAGCTTGCGGCTTCACAGCCGAGTGCCCACTGCGCATGCGCAAGAAGCACTGCGTATTGTGAATGGCCCTGTAGTCTTGTGGGACCTGTCATGTGTCCCAGAAGACTATGGGGAGGGGGAGGACAACTCTGCAGAAGTTGGAGCGGTACCTGTCAAATGCGGGTACCAACCCCCCCCCCACTCCCCAAAGGTCTGTAGTCACTGGTCATCTTCCTGTAGTGTGTCTGCAGTCTCTGGTCATCTCCTGTAGTGTGTCCGCCAGTCTTTGGTCATCTCCTGTACTGTGTCCACAGTCCCTGCTCATCTCCTGTAGTGTGTCCACAGTCTCTGGTCATCTCCTGTACTGTGTCGGCAGTCTCTGGTCATCTCCTGTACTGTGTCGGCAGTCTCTGGTCATCTCCTGTTACTGTGTCGGCAGTCTCTGGTCATCTCCTGTACTGTGTCGGCAGTCTCTGGTCATCTCCTGTACTGTGTCCGCAGTCTCTGGTCATCTCCTGTACTGTGTCCCGCAGTCCCTGGTCATCTCCTGTACTGTGTCGGCAGTCTCTGGTCATCTCCTGTACTGTGTCGGCAGTCTCTGGTCATCTCCTGTACTGTGTTCGCAGTCTCTGGTCATCTCCTGTACTGTGTCCGCAGTCTCTGGTCATCTCTTGTAGTGTGTCCGCAGTCTCTGGTCATCTCCTGTAGTGTGTGTCCGCAGTCTCTGGTCATCTCCTGTACTGTGTCCCGCAGTCTCTTGTCATCTCCTGTACTGTGTCCCGCAGTCTCTGGTCATCTCCTGTACTGTGTCCGCAGTCTGTTGGTCATCTCCTGTACTGTGTCCGCAGTCTCCTGGTCATCTCCTGTACTGTGTCCGCAGTCTCTGGTCATCTCCTGTACTGTGTCCGCAGTCTCTGGTCATCTCCTTTACTGTGTCCGCAGTCTCTGGTCATCTCTTGTACTGTGTCCGCAGTCTCTGGTCATCTCCTGTACTGTGTCCGCAGTCTCTGGTCATCTCCTGTACAATGTCTGCAGTCTCTGGTCATCTCCTGTACTGTGTCCACAGTCTCTGGTCATCTCCTGTACTGTGTCCGCAGTCTATGGTCATCTCCTATACTATATCCGCAGTCTCTGGTCATCTCCTGTACTGTGTCCGCAGTCTCTGGTCATCTCCTGTTCTATATCTGCAGTCTCTGGTCATTTCCTGTACTATGTCTGCAGTCCATTGGTTCAGAATATTTTTTTTCTTGTTTTCCTCCTCTAAAATCTAAGTGCATCTTATGGTCAGGTGCGTCTTATGGAGCAAAAAATACGATGGTACATAAACAGTGCCATTGTAATCTCCACTTTGCATTTGCAAATCCCTCTCCACAGGCTCCATTAAACAATTGCCAAAGTTAGCAGGATCCTGGAGTTCAACTTCATCATTTTGAGCTTCTTCTCAAAAGGTTACCTGAAAATAATGTGTTTCAATTTGCTAATTTTCCTTGCTTCCTCTGAAATAGAAACTGGTGCCAGAGGTGCAGGTCTATGAGTCGGTTAATGTGGCGCACACCACTCGCATTAGCTATAATGGCATGGGAAGCCTAGTTATTCTGGGTGAGTTGGATCTTTGCTGATAATGCTAGCCATTTTCTTTACTGTAACATATGTGCACATGTGGGGCCTTCCTGAGCTTAAACTCAAAACTCCATATCAATAGAATTAACAGATTAAAAGGTTAAGTTCACATTTTGCACCATGTTAAGTCTGTATTCCAGGTGTAACATGTAACATGGTAGAAATGCCTCCCCTCTACACTGATTCTTCCGTCTACTGCCCCCCTACCCATGACAGTGTGTGGGGGTTCTTCTACCCCACAGCTGCTGTCACATTCAAAAACAGCATGGCTGGCACAGCTATAGTATTCATTCACAGGGATCTGTAAACAAATTAATTACAAATCCTCTCTTCCACTTCCGGACTTGTATTTCTGAATGGACTGATTGTGGTAATCATCGCACTCATAATCCACTGAATTTTCCTCCAACTGACAGCCCATACAGAGATACAAGCAAGGAGCTAGAGGAAGAGTTTACAGGAGCCTGTTCATAGGTGCAATGCTTTGCCGGCTCCTGATGAAAAATAAATAAATATCTATCCATCTTTTTATCTCGGGTAAAATACTGTAAGTATTGAACACGTCACCATTTTTCTAGGCAAATATATTTCTAAAGGTGCTATTGACATGACATTTTCACCACATCAGTGAAACCCAATGTGATCTATACATACAAAGAAACAAAAACAAATAAGTTCAGAAATTAAGTTATGTGTAGTAAAATGGAATGACACAGGGCAAAAGTGTTGAACACGCTAACTGAAATTTATTTAATACTTCGTACAAAATCCCTTGTTGATAATGAAAACTTTAAGATGACTCCTGTATGAAAAAACTAGTTTCATGCATTGCTCATGTGTGATTTTGGCCCATTCTTCCATACAAACTTGTCTTCAAGTCTTGAAGGTTCCGTGGGCCTCTTCTATGAACTCTGATCTTTAGTTCTTTCCATAGATTTGCTATTGGATTTAAGTCAGGTGATTGGCTGGGCCATTCTAGCAGCTTTATTTTCTTTCTTTGAAACCAATTGAGAGTTTCCTTGGCTTTGTGTTTGAGATCATTGTCTTGCTGAAACGTCCACCCTCATTTCATCTTCATCATCCTGGTAGATGGCAGCAGATTTTTATCAATAATGTCTTGATACATTTTTCCATTCATCCTTCCTTCAATGACATGAAGTTTGCCAGTAAAGTATGCTGAAAAACAGCCCCACACCATGATGCTCCCACCTACAAACTTAACTGTTGATATGGTGTTTTTGGGGTGATGTGCAGTGCCATTTGACCTACAAAACATGGTGTGTATTATGGCATCTAAAGAGTTCAATTTTGGTCTCATCTGACCAGACTATATTCTCCCAGTATTTCAAGGCCTGTGTAAATGTTGTGCAGCAAACTTTAAACAAGCTTCAACATGCTTTTTTTTTCAACAATGGAGTCTTGAGTGGTCAGTGTGCATACAGGCCATGGCAGTTATTGTTTTCTTTATAACAATTGTACCTGCTAATTCCAGGTTTTTCAGAAGCTCTTCACAAGTGGTCCTTGGCTCTTGGACAACTCTTCTGATAAATATATTTTTATTCCTCTGTCGGAAATCTTGCAAGTTTATGGTGAAATGATGTTCTTTCAACTTTCGGATTATGGCCCCAACAGTGCTCAATGGAACATTCAGAAATCCTTCTGTAACCAATGCCATAAGTATGTTTTGCAACAATAAGGTTGTGAAGAGCTTGAGAGAGCTCTGCGACAGGTTGGTAATGAAAGTGTACAATTCAAACGCACACGTTCCTGTGTTAAAAAATTACTGTGTGTATAAGTTGGTGCTGCAGCAACCGTCGGCTGGAACCGAACAGAATCAGCAAGGGAGAAAGTCACCAGCAAAGGATCACCTATATGGGTCCAAACATTTTAATGAACGATCACAAAGTTACAGCAAGGCAAACGTTTTGGAGTCTTGCAGAACCCCTTCATCAGGCATGTGACCATACCATGACCTTGGTAATGAGACACCTTTTTATAAGGGGCAGGATTGCTTTCTAATTACTGATAGATTTCAGTTGGTGTCTTGGCTTTCCATTCCTTTTTGCACCTCCCTTTCTTCATGTGTTCAATACTTTTTCCCGTGTCATTCCATTTTATTACACATAACTTAATTTCTGAACTTTTGTCTTGGTTTCTTTGTATGTATGGATTGCATGAATTGTTACTGACAAGTGGTGAAAATTTCATGTCAATAGCACCTTTAGAAATATCTTTACTGAGAAAAATGGTGACATGTTCAATGCTTATTTTACCTTCTGCGTATATATGATAAATGCACATTTTCTTCTTATGGATTGCCTTTATTACCAAAAATTGCCAAACCTTAGTGAAAAAAAGCTATATTTCCTGATGCAATTTGTTAAACTGAACAATGTGTGAGGGCCTGGAAACTTCATGGTTAAATTTCTCACTATCATGAGGTGAGGCACAGATTGGATGGATTAATGATTAATAAGAAACTTTGGCGTAGATCAACACCAACAGTAGAATTCTACAGATTTGGTTTCTGGCCATATTATCCTCATGTGAACTTCAGAACTTTAGTTTTAATTTGGACAGTTTGTATAGGGGCTTGTTTGGGTCACCGCCTTACCCTCTTTTATTCCCCCTGTACTTCCTTTTCCTTCTTTCCCTCTATTGTTCTTTGCACTGTCG